CGGATTTATGCTCGGAGTCAGATGAATACGACGAACTTTCCTTCGTTGGTAAAGGAATGTGAGTGATGAGGACGCTGAACATCACGTCTTGACGCATCACGTCAAAATCCCAAGTGATCACAGTCTGAGGTTCTTCAATATGTATAACAACTTCGTGCGATTGACCTTTACCTAAATTTATGCTACGATATATACTGTCCTCCATGAGTGAACTACCCTCTTTTTCCAATTCGCTATTTGTGGAATATAAACTTTTCGGTACCAATCCGCCAAGTGCAATGTTTGCCTAAAACGAAAATCATAGGTTTAATAATAAACATTTACGAATTTTTTGAATGGACATACGCTCCAAAGTAAAATACCTGACAAGGTCCGCCAAGAAAGTGTGGTAAAATATCTTTTGATATATAATCCACCAGACCGCCTGATGCCAGATAATTATTTCCTCCGTAAAAAAGAAATTTCGTTCTCGTGTTTTCATCGATAAACGTTCCTACCAACGTCCACAATATTGGAAATACTCTGGGTGCTCTTATTATCAAAACTCTTCCCATTGTTTCTGGATAATTCGCTTCGACGATTTCTATTATACGTAATAAAGCTCTTATTCCAGGTCTCCATAAATGTCTCATGTTGAGACCTTCAAGATCCACCAGAAGAGTCCAAGTTGAAATTGGTTTTCCGCTATTTCTGGTAGCTTCTTCCATTAATTTCAGTCCCTCTTCGCAAACAGACAATGTCTAAAATGCAATGTGTCATATTTAAAACTTAAAAGTATCAATAGAATTTACAAGCCAGTTAACATATTAACTTTTAATGCTTACTAATTTAAGAAGTCCATCCTCTCCGATTGATTTAATCAGTCCTTTGACATCCATTTGTCCGAGACATAATAAAAAAAGTGGTCTTCCATCTTGAATAAAAAAACAAAGGAATTTAATAAGTTTGCCATACAGCTTACGAGTGAATAACAATTTTAAAATTATTACCTTTATCATTATGATGCCAACCACCTGGAAAATAATCTTTAACTACTTGTGGTGGGATGTACTCTAAAAGTATACGATCAACAGCATGTTTTTTTCTCCAGATAAGAGATTGAGACAACATTTCTCTCGCCTTTTCAACATTGAAATCAGATGCTCTTAAAAATCGCAACAAAGTCGAATCATTCGGTACCTTTTTGTACAAATAAATTGAATTAATTTTCATTTACAAGAGGAAACATCAATAATTAAATATTTTAATTAATTTTTACCTTTCCCTTTTGTAAGTCTGTAACCCATTTTTTAAGCTGTACTAAATTTGATTCTTGAATAAGAGATAATTCTCCTAAATATCTCTTGATGTAATCAGCTTCCAATTGAAACTGATCTCCTTGACCCTTATGTGTATCATCTACTGATATATCATCTTTAAATAAGCTTGAAGAATTTATTTCTCCAGAGTCTTGTACAGAATCAGCTGGAGGAGTCCATATTGGCACATGTGTTATGCCTTCTTCCTTTAGTTGATTGACAAAAAAATCGACTACTTCTTTTCCTTTAGCTATGTTGGCTGAATACTGCTTCATTGCTAATTTTTCAATAGAATTTTCAAATCCTAAGAAATTTCTAATATCTAAAGTTGCAGACTGTTCAAAGCAAGTCCAGTCAGTATTCTCGGGATGAACAAAATATCTACAATGCTCTAGTATAGTTACCCTTGAAGCAAAACTTTCATTGTAAGCTTCAATGTCTAATACTCTTTTTCTCCTATCTAGAGTATTTTTTTGAATGAAATAAATCACTTCAACACCAATAATCTGAAATATGTTAATTTTAAAGAAATTAGATAAATTAGCTTTTAAAACAAAAAAAAAAAAGAAGGTTTTTTTGACCCACTTTTTTCAAGAGATAAGGAGCTTCAACACCAAGTTTACATCTTCTTTCTGTGTACCTTACAGAGCCATCTGGGCTTTCAACATCGGAAGTAATTTCACAATTTAAAACAACCGGTATCAGAGGACATGATGGAAACCTTCTTTCATAAGCCTATCAATAAAAAATTTCATATTCTATTGTTAATATATACATGAGTGGTTAATAGGTTTAATAGAAAGCATCAAAGAGAAAGTATATTTATGCAAATCAATTTTTGTATAAATCCCATTTTATAAGTGAAATGAAAAGACAGTTTTTAATCATGTCAAAATGTTTGTGCAAAATCAATATAATAATGTAGATAAGATTCTATATTTAATTCTGGATTTTACATATTATAAATTTTAGCTTATACATTTTTTAAATAAAACCCTTAAAATTATCCCAAAAATAAAATTGTTCAAACATCAATGATAAAGACAAATAATAAAAAAACTCTTTCTTGAGATTTTTTCTAATTAAATATGACATTCAAAATTTACAATGAAACTTATTAAGTAACATATAAAGATAAAAAAGAAGATAAGGTAACATTCAATGAGTTTTTAATAAAGTCTTTTACATTCTTGAGGACACAATGAAATTTTCAAGGTCAATCACAGAATTCAAATGACGTGATAATGAATTAATTTATTAAATTATCTCATCAGTGCGTATTAATTAATATTATTATTAGGACAATTTCTTTTTAAAAAAAATTTGAATAGTATACAAATATTTAATCCACTTCCTATTATTTGTTATCTCACAAAAAAAGGAAACGATAATAACACTTTCTCTTTTCCCGATGATAAATAAATTAATATACTTACCATCATAACTAATTCGAAAGGATATTTGTAAACTCTGACCGGTGATTGATATTTTTGAACCATTTCGCATTTTTTTTAACGTAAACGAAAAAATTAATTTTTACAGAAAATAAATTTCACTGCTCACAATAGAATAAATGTAATGAGCAGTAGATAGGAGGAAATTGACTAACAATTTTACCAACTTAAAAATACCGTTACTCAAAGGGGGCCTTTTTTAATAAAAAATCATTCATGTTTTTCCCTTTCAATTAATTTACTTTTGTTTAATCGATAATTTTTCTCAATTTACATAATAAATTATTACACTTTTGAATATTCTGCTCTCTTTAAATAATATTTTGAATAAATTACTAATTTTTACTTTTCCTTATGATAAACCTTTCGGAAAAATTAAAAAAATAATCTACAATTCATTAAAACCTTATATAATTTAAAGCAATACTTAAAAGGACTCCATTTTTAAAATTTTAAAATAAATTAAAAATAAATAATAAGTTTATGCCGATAATTTTCTTAAATTATTTTAAAACAATTAATAAATATAACTTTTATTCTTTTTTATATTATTTCTAAATAATATTTTATCACTCTTACATTTTCAAATGAATGACATTGGTAAAAAGAAAATCCCAAAATTTTTCAATAAAATAATTTTAGAATTTTATATTGAAAGACGTAAAAAACAATGATATTACACAACTTTTTCATTTAATAATAGTATTATTAAATTATTATTATTATTAATAATTAATCGTACGGTCCAACATTATTAACATCTACATTTATTTATTTTTATATTCATTATTCAACTATAACCAACACCTTTTTCTATAATCATATACATATATATATATATATATATATATATATATATATATATATATGTTCATTTTTTATTATTATTATTATTATTATTATTAAATTAAATAATTCACAACAATCTAAATTTTTAAATAACTTTAATATATATATATATTAAAAAATTTCAAATCATCATTGACATCATTATTAAAATAAATTTCCCTAATTAATAATTAAAACTGCAAAAATAGAGTAATACTAATAATAATAATTTCATTTTATTTAATTTAAATAATTTAAAAATAAAAAAAATGGCTGACTAAGAAAAAAAAACCAAAAAGTTAAGAAAAAAGAGATAGAAAATAAAATTTAAATAAAAAATGTTTATATATATATTATATATAATATTCTTTGGTATATGATTTATTATTTAAAAACAATTAACTAATAACTACTACATTTTACTAAATTTATTTATAAATATATATATTAATAAATTTATATTATATTTAATAAATATATATAATTTTTTTTTTATAATTTTTTATTTATTATTATTAATATTATTTAAACACTGAAAAAGTATAAAAATAAAGTTAGGGTTTACTAAAATTCAATAAACTATTAATTAATAATTAATAAGTGCTTTTTTATATATATATAAAAATATAAAAACTGTGTGAAAATTTAAAACGTGAACGTTATGTATTTATGTATGTATGTATGTGATTATAATTTAACATTTATAAATAGATAGTTTACATTATATATATATAATATAATTTTTTTTTTATGTATACATAAATTATTATTGTGTTTACATAATAAGTATATTTTTTAATATTATAAAAAAGTGGGCTCAGCAAAACAAAACAAAATGAAAACATTCAATCAATCAATTTTTCAACTTACATAAATAAATCAATTAATAATGTCTTTGTTATTAATAATAATAATAATAATAATAATAATAATATAAAAGGGAAAAACAATATTATTATTTAAATATATATATTTTTTTTAAATTGGGGGGAAAAATCTTTGTTTGTTTGTTTGTTTGTTGTGAGAACAAAAAATTTTTTATTTATATTCAATTTTTAATTAATTTTATTGAAATTTTAATTAATAAATTTCTTTATTAATAAATAAATTTTTTTTATGTTTGTTGGTTTGTTTTTACAACACTCGTGGGTTTTAATAACATATTAAAAAATTATTATTAAATTTTTTTTTTTTATAATAAAAAATACTTAAAAAACTTTATAACATTTAAAAATAAAATTATTATTATTAATAAAAAGAAAATTCAAGTAGATTTAAAAAAAAAACAATATTATGTAAATAAATTTTAAAGTTTTATAGTTTTATTTTAATAATAATAATAAATTTACTTACAGGAATTAAATGTTGGAATTTAAATAAAAAAATTTTTTATTTTATTTTTACTGACCCGATTTTCTTGTTTGAAATTTTTTTTTTTTTAAACAAATGATTTGATATTAAATCAAACCGGAAACGATTTATCAAAAAATAAAAAAATTATGAATATTTTACAGTGTTATGAAAAAAAAATTTTATGTACATAATTTTAATTTTGTAAAATGTAAAATTTTTCATAACGCGCTTTTCTTAAGAAAATAAGATAAATGAAGAAGAGGAAAGAAAAAAGAAAAAGAAAATCGGGTAAAAGTTTCATAAAAAAAAAAAGAAAAGAAAAATATCGGAAAATAAATTGAAAAAAAAAAAAAAAAAAAATCTCAAACAAGTCAATGACGTCAAAACTTTTTAATAATAATAATAATAATGATAAACGATGAGGAATAAGATAAAAAAAATATTGCATTAAAATTTATATTTTTTTTTTGAGAAGGGGGACCATTTTAAAAAAAAAAAAATTTTATTTATGGATAATAAAGGATGTAAATCTCCGACGGGAGATTTTAAAAAATTTATTTTACCTACCCCTCC